GGGGCGGGGTGTGGGGCGCCCATGGGGCTCAGGGCCCGCCGTGGCGCCGCATGGTGTCCTGGATCCAGGCGCGGAAGGCGCAGACGCGCGTGTAGACACCGGGCTTGCCGCGCCGGCCGCACTCCTGCACGCCCCACGACACGACGCCCTGCAGCTCCGCGCCGCACACCAGCGGGCCCCCCGAGTCGCCCTGGGGGGACACGCGGGCGYCCCGCCGTGAGGAGAGCGCCCACGAGCACCCACCACGTCCCGGGAGCACCCAGGTGGTCCCAGGAGCACCCAGGTGGTCCCGGGAGGATTTAGATGGTCCCAGGAGGATCTAGATGGTCCCAGGAGCAYCCAGAAGGTCCCAGGGGGACCTAGATGGTCCCAGGAGGACCCAGAAGGTCCCAGGAGGACCTAGATGGTCCCCAGAGCATCTGGAAGGTCCCTAGAGCATCTAGAGGGGCCTTAGAGCATCCAGAAGGTCCCAGGAGGACTCAGACCAGATGGTCCCTAGAGCATCTGGAAGGTGCCAGGAGGACCCAGGTGGTCCCAGGAGGACCCAGAAGGTCCCAGGGGGACCTAGATGATCCCTAGAGCATCTAGAGGGACCCTAGAGCATCCAGCTGGTCCCAGGAGGGACCTCTACAGCGCCCAGGAGGTCCCTATAGTCCCTGGGGGTCCCTATAGCACCCAAGTGGTCCCTATAGCCCCAGGAGGTCCCCACAGCACCCAGAAGATCCCTATAGTCTCTGGGGGTCCCTATGGTCCCTGGGGGTCCCTATAGCACCCAAGTGGTCCCCACAGCACCCAAGTGGTCCCTATAGCACCCAAGTGGTCCCGACAGCGCCCGGCGCCCGTCCCACCAGAGACGCGTCCCCTGCCCCGCTCCCTCGGGTGGCACCTCAGGACCCTGCGTCCCCAAGGGGGGCTGGGACCCCCAAACCCCCTGGGGGTCCCCCCCAAACCCCAGGGGTCCCCCCCAGCCCCCGGGGTCCCCTGACCTGGCAGGAGTCGGTGCCCCCCGCGCGGCGGCCGGCGCAGAGCATGTTGCGCGTGACGCCCTCGGGGTAGAGGCGGCCGCACTCCTCGTTGGCCATGGTGTAGACCACGCCGCACTGCAGCACGTCGGGGAAGTAGCCTGGGGGGGGGACACGCTGAGGACCCCCCCGCCAGCACCTTTGGGTGCCCCCCACCCACCCTTGGGTCCCTGTCTGTCTTCTCCGAGGAGATTCCCGGTGTTGACACCGTGGGAGATGTTCCCCGGGGCCACCTCGGGAAATGTCCCCATGTTGACACCATGGGAGATGTTCCTCAGGGCCACCATGGGAGATGTTCCCCGGGGCCACCTCGGGAAATGTCCCCGTGTTGACACCATGGGAGATGTTCCTCGGGGCCACCATGGGAGATGTTCCTCGGGGCCACCATGGGAGATGTTCCCCGGGGCCACCTTGGGGCCGTTTCCGAGGTGGGTCCGAGGAGATCCACCTTGGATGGACCAAGCAGAACCTGCCCCAAGGGCGCCCTCTGTTCCATGGGGCTCTGGGGCCAACGCTGGTGCTCAGCTGTGGGGCGGATGGCCCCCGAGATGCCCCTTCTGGCTGGACGCTCCCCACCATGGGATGTTCTCCATCATGGGACCTTCTCCATCATGGGACGTTCTCACCCACTATGGGATGTTCTCCACCATGGGATGTTCTCCACCACCAATGGTCTCCCCACCGTGGGATGTTCTCACCCACCATGGAACGTTCTCCATCATGGGACCTTCTCCATCATGGGACATTCTCACCCACCATGGGATGCTCCCAACCATGGATGTTCTCACCCACCACGGGACCCTCCCCACCACCAATGATGTCCCCACCATGGAACCTTCTCCACCATGGGACATTCCCCACCATGGAACACTCCCCGCCGCGGAACGCTCCTCACCCATCATGGGACGTTCTCGCCCACAATGGGACATTCCCAACCATGGAACACTCCCCACCATGGGACGTTCTCCAGCATGGGACGTTCTCCACCATGGGACCTTCCCCACCATGGGACGTTCTCACCCACCACAAGACATTCCCAACCATGGGACGTTCTCCACCATGGAACGTTCTTCACTATGGGATGCTCCCCGCCATGGAACCTTCTCCACCATGGGACATTCTCCACCATGGGGCGTTCTCCATGGCGGGCCGCCCTCACCCACCTTGGGGGCTGCTGGTGCTGCCCCAGCCGGAGACGACGCACTCGGTGCCGGGCGGGGGGCAGCGGCGGGGCAGCGCCACGGGCTGCACGTGCCGCGTGAGCCGCGCCGGCCGCTGCAGCCGCAGCAGCATGAGGTCGCTGTCGTGGGTGGCCGCGTCGTAGGCCGGGTGCACGAAGGCGCCCGCCGAGCTCACGCACTGCTCGGTGCCCTCGGCGCGCCGCAGGCTGTGCTCGCCCAGCCGCACCGCCATGGAGCTGCGGGGCACCACGGGGTGGAGGATCAGGAGGAGGGGTCTCCCCTCCCATCATGGGAGCCTCCAGCCACCAGGGGAAACTGAGGCCTGGTGGCGGCTCRTGGTGGGACTCCATCCCACGTCCCAGCAGACCTGCCCCATACCCAGGGGGAAAGGGCCGTCCCACGTTGGGGAGATGGTTGGGTGGCCAACCAGGGGGTGGTGGTGGTGGTCAACCCAACGGGATGGTCATGGTGGGCAACCCAATGGGATGGTCATATTGGAGACCCAACGGGGTGGTCATGGTGTCCAACCCAACGGGATGGTCATGGTGGCCAACCCAACGGGATGGTCATATTGGAGACCCAATGGGGTGGCCGTGGTGGCCAACCCACTGGGATGGACATATTGGGCTCCCAGATGGATGGTCATGG